CTTTGGATTTGAGACTTTAGTCTTTGCAACTTTACAGATCTTCTTTATGCACCAAGAGCTTGTAACACTCCAAAGAGAAAGGAAAAATTGAAACCGCATCATATGACCCCTTTAACATTAATAATTTGAGAATAAAGTAACCGGACTAAGTTGGACATAGTGGTGTATTAGAGGTAAAAAATTATATAAATACTGTTCGGTTTCTGGCACAAACCGATCGTTTCGTGTCTTAGGACATCAATGTGTCATCATGAGCCGCAGGGTTTAATTTGGATTTGTCTGTGCATGTTTTTTTTACTCTCATAGATTTTGTTACCATTGCCATGCATTATACGACTGATAGACTGCAACGGTTGGACTTAAAAATCATCAAATGTGTTCTACTGAAGAAACAAAGTCACCTACATCTTGGATGCCCTGGGGGTAAGCAAAAATTTTCATTTTTGGGTGAACTATCCCTTTAAATATCCACACCGGTGCGGTGACTGACTGCCACACATACTCCTCTAAACATTAGATTCATCCGCGCTGGAGCCGCACCGGCACACAACCCACTCAAGGAAGATAATTCCGCAAACAGCTGCAATTCCAGGTTTTCAAACAGAGATGGTGACAAAGAGGCAAAACTTACGTACTGCAGCTTTAAATAAACTAAATAAAATTAAACTAAATAAAATAAAATATAAATATTACATGAAAAATTTTAACTCTTTTAAATATAAAAATTTCCTTGGCACAAAACTAAAATAAATAAGTTGAAGTTGAAGTATTAAAACTGAAATACTAAAAATAAAATAAAATAAAATAAAAAAATAAAATAAATACATTTTAGTACTAAATAAATGCTAAAATAATTTGTTTTTACTAAAATAAATTAAAGCTAAATAAAAATATGTACTAGAAAATAACAAAAGCACAAAATAAATAAAACTTAAAGATTAAAATAAAAAACAAAAAAAACTAAATAAGCGCTAATTCAGAATATTATCAAATAGTATCGCAATACATAAATAATATTAAAATAACACACTACATGGTCTCAAACCACTACTCACCAGATGCACATACGGAACGAAGTATCCCAGCACTGCTGTGGCGACACCGAACGCCCAAACCCGATAGGTCAGCACACTGAACACTCGCACGTTAAAGTACTTCCTGATTTTGGCCAGGCCCTTATGCCACCTGCTCGCCGACTCCAGGCCGGACGGGGGGCCTCCGTCCATTCCCATGCCTGGCATCGGGCACATCCCACTTGGCATGAGCGGTTTGAAGGTGAGGGCCAGCAGCGACTGGACCAGCATGAAGATGCTGAGGATCTGGAAGGTTCTGGAAAGGCCCAGCGGTTCGACCACTTTCTTGAGCAGCACAGGGAGCCCCATAGAAAAGAGGCTGCTGCCTGCCGTCACCACGCCGTTGGCCAAACCTAGTCTCTGTCGGAAATAATGCCCCAGGATCACCAGCGACGGCTGGAATGCAAACGAGGATCCGCAGCCGAACAGTATCCCGTATGTGAAGTATCGAAGACCCAGCGTGCTGAGGAGAGAAGAAAGGACGTCAGTGTAACAAAAGAACAATGCTGATGAAAGGCAGTAGGGTTAAAACTATCACCTTTATACCCTTTTTCACTGTTAAAGGGATAGTTCACCCAAAAATTGTGTTATTAATTACTCACCCTTGTGTAGTTCCAAAACTGTAAGACCTCCGTTCATCTTCCGAACACAATTTAAGATATTTTTAATGAAGTCTGAGGGCTCTCCGACCCTCCCATAGACAGCAAGGTAACTACCACGTTCAAGGTCCAGAAAAGTACCAAGATGATCGACAAAGTAGTCCGTGTGACGTCAGTGGTTCAACTGTAACGTTACGAAGCTACGAGAATACTTGCAAACGAGGATCCGCAGCCGAACAGTATCCCGTATGTGAAGTATCGAAGACCCAGCGTGCTGAGGAGAGAAGAAAGGACGTCAGTGTAACAAAAGAACAATGCTGATGAAAGGCAGTAGGGTTAAAACTATCACCTTTATACCCTTTTTCACTGTTAAAGGGATAGTTCACCCAAAAATTGTGTTATTAATTACTCACCCTTGTGTCGTTCCAAAACTGTAAGACCTCCGTTCATCTTCCGAACACAATTTAAGATATTTTTTATGAAATCTGAGAGCTTTCAGACTCTCCCATAGACAACAAGGGTCCTAACACGATCAAGACACAGAAAAGTACCAAGATGATCGACAAAGTAGTCCATGTGACATCAGTGGTTCAACTGTAAAGTTACGAAGCTACGAGAATACTTTTTTGCGCAAAGAAAACAAAAATAACCACTTTATTCCACATTTTCATCTCTACTGCGTCTCTTGTGGACGTGTGTTCACGGCAGTACCATGACGCAAGCGCGTGGCGTCAGATTTCATCAAAAATATCTTAAATTGTGTTCCGAAGATGAACGAAGGTCTTACGGGTTTGGAACGATATGAGGGTGAGTAATTAATGACAGAATTTTCATTTTTGGGTGAACTATCCCTTTAAAGCAATTTATTCAATCCCAGTTTAATGTGACTAAGCTATAAATATGTTTATGGCCCTTTTTGAAATAGAAGTGCACTTAATTGTATTGAATGTGCCATTTTAGTATCATACTATTATCTATTATATTATTATTAATATTATTAATATTATACTATTATTATATTACTATTATAGTTTTTTAATATTTTACATTTATTTTATTTTTATGTTTTTAGTTTTCCTTCTAATCTTAGCTAAAGTTTGTTAATTTTGTTGCATTTTGATATTTTTATTTTTTTTATATATTAAATTATTTATTTGTATTAAATGTAAGTGTATTATTTTTTCATTTTTATTAGTCAGTTCTTTTTTAAATATGTCTGTATGATTTTTTTAAGTTTTTATTTTTAGTTTAAGTTTATTGTTGTTGTTTTTTGACATTTTAATTAGTTTGTGTTTCTTCTTTAAAATATATCTATATAGTTGTTATTAGGTAATAGATTTAGTTTATTTAGTTTTAAATATTTCAGTTCTATTTTAGATTTTTTTTACTTAAATAGACACAAAAATTACATTCAGTCCCATAAAAAGCACTCTTTTTGAAAGTAAGGTTTTTCTCAAGTGTCCATAAGCAAGATGGTTGCACACTAACTAGAAATAAAGTCATACAAGGTGCAGGACTGATATGAGCACTTTTACAGCAGAACTGTTGATTTCTCATGTTGTTCTCTCCTTATTAAACTGATACATTTCACTTCCAACTGACCTGTGACTCCTAAAGCCAAAGAGTGTGCAACACACGGCCAGCAGGACACATTATTTGGTTAACGACCAAACAGACGTTAGTGTAAATGATGGATTGTGGGACGGAAGAGAGAAACTCAACCCTGCAGGAGACACTTGTGTTCAAAGCCTGAGGAAGGGAGGGAAATAGTTTGTGTGTTGGTGTGTGTGTGTGTGTGTGTGTGTATATGTGTGTTTGCATGCACTATAGCGTTTGTGCTTTTTGAGTGTTTCAGGCTCTAAATGCAGCAGGACCAGGGCAGGCTGACCATTTTTTCCAACCTTTTTTTAACAACAGCAAGAGCTTTTTCGGCTTGGAATAAAACCAGCACTCTGTCCAACTGCACAAAGACCTCAAAAAGAAGGCACTGTGAGAAAACCATGAGAAGGAAAAGACTGAAGGAAAGGAGAGAAGAGAAAGAAAGCAAAGATTACATAAATGTTCTGCCGTACATGTCCTGCTGTCCTAAGTGTGTTTGTTTTTGTCCTTTTGCTTAAAAGACTGTTGGCGTGTTTCTGTAACCTTTTATATAAGCACACTTTAGGAGTGATTTGTCTGCCTCCATCACTTCGACCACAACATTTCTATAAAACTCAATCTCCAAAGACACGAACACACAAAATGAGAGACAGGAGACATTATTGACTGACATCTTACCCATGTAAAAGAGAAACAAACAAATGTGCCACACACTTTGAAACATTTTTGTCTGAAAAGACAAAAGTACAAAAAAAGGGATAAAAAGAGGATAAAAAAATCACATAACACTAAATATTTTAAAGAAAAAGTATTATTTTTGGATAAATGCACAGAAAAAAACTTGTATAATCAATATTTCACAGAAAAATATTGTTTTTGGAAAAATGCACAAGGAAAGAAATATACAATAATAAATATATTACATAAAAATACTGCTTTGGGGGGAAAAAATATATAAAAAATATATTTTCTGAGAATTAGCAAATGTGCAAAATGTTCAGCACACTATGATGCAAGTACTGGGGTGAGCCGATGTTTATACTATAATATGGCTATATGCATGCCAGCAGAGACACTTCAAAGTAAAGGGAACAGATACATCATGTACAACGTAACTCAACTTAAATTAAGTTTAGAAACACCTGCAAACTGACTTCTTTGTCTAGTCCATACAGCAGAGTGACAGCGCTGGATGGGCATTCTGGGTAAAATAAATGTATTTTGGTAAGGTTGAAAGAATTAAAATAAACCTAAAATCCCAATGCATGGGTCATTTTCAGGAAATAATGTCATTTGTGTGTCACATTACCTAGAACCGTCACATTATTTGACTAATTTAATTTTGTTCTGTCTATAGTTATTTGTCAGTTCTGTTCAAAATGTATGAAATAAATCCAAATAATAAATATTTTAAAGTAAATTATTGTTTTTGTAAAAATGTGCATGACAAACAAAAACATAAAAAATAAATATTTTTTAAAAATCATATAATAGTCTAATAAATATTTTTAGAATGAATGTTTTTATTTCCCAAGAAAAACATACATATAGAAAAATGTTTGGAAAAATGTTAAGTGATTTAATCTTCTTCTGTGTATATATTTATGGTATATTTGTTTAGTTCAACAGTTTATATAATCATATATCATAATATAATATGTAATGTAATAGCTTACATTTTGCATATTATTTCCGAATGAACTGTGAAAATGCAACACGAAAAAAAAACTATGTACATGTGGTTAAAAAAGAAAAAGATAAAAACAAAGAAGTTATTTACGTTGCGAAGGAACTGGTGAGAAGACCGAGGAAGGCCACAAACGCTCCGCATACGGCCGTCTTCCGGCATCCGAAGTGATCTGTGAACATACTGACCACCGGAGAGCAGAAGAATATCATCCCCATCGCCAGAGCACCAACCCATGCTGGAGAAAGAAAGAGTAAAAGATGAAGTATATTAACCCGATTTTCCATTTGCCAGACTCAATGCCACGATGCTACAGTGTTCTGGGAGGTTGGAACGTTGCTATCATAGATATGTACTGTATATACATATCTATGGTTGCGAGGTCGTTCTGAGTATTTTTAGTGCATTGTTATATAATTGCTAGGTGTTTTTACTGGCCTCAAGTCTCAACGGCTCAGTATAAATCTGTGGGATTTTTTGCCTGTTTAAGCCATTAGAAAAGCAACAACACACCTCTTTTCAACAAGTCACACAATGCAAATCCCTAACCATAAGCAAGACAACAGAAAGCACCATTAATAAGATCATTGACAAAATAACCAGCTTTGAGATTCATTTGTGTGAACTAAGCTTTCTCATGTGATGAATGTGGAAAAACACTCACTAATCCAATGATTTTATATCAGACTTGAACAGTGTAGCAACGCATTACAAGCAAGTGTGCCGCACGAGTCTTAAAAAGTGAAGCCATTGCTTCACCCTCTCCATGCAATCTAATGGGACAAACTAAATAATTAAATTTCACTTCAAATAATTTTTTTCCACAGATGGCTTTTGTCATTTAATGTAGATTTTATCACGCTGATGTAAGTTCAAGTGTTCGTTTTTTAAATAATTTTGGTTTTAGTTAGTTAAGTGATGGTATAAAAATGGGAGTGTGACGTCATGATTGACAGCTGAGACTGACAGCTTCTCTGAGTGAACTGAGGCGCCAACTGACTTTTTCGGGATCTTTAGGAGGATATTGGAGTATTTACCTTATTTTAACACAATCCTCTCAGCAGACAAAAACTGGAGCAGTCAGGCTAATTAAAACAGGGTCAGGGGCGTATGCTTGCGATCGACTCTGCGGGAGTGTTGGCGGGACGCGGCTCCACTTCGCTCGCAACTGCGCAGACTCTGGTCCCGAGTGTGAACATGATGCTTGCTGTAGTTCTAGACCAGTGGTTCTCAAACCTGTCCTAGAGTACCCCCAGCCCTGCACATTTTGTATGTCTCCCTCATCTATTACACCTGATTTAACTCATCAGCTCATTAGTGGAGACTGCAAGACCTGAAGTGGGTGTGTAAGATATAGGGAGACATACAAAATGTGCAGTGCTGGGGGTACTTTATGGAAAGGTTTGAGAACCACTGTTCTAGACTAAATATGTATTTACTCATCTTACCTGCACAAAAATAGATTCAGTATTCCTCAAAATGAAAAAAAAGTCAAATGCAAACTCAGAATATTATACAATAATTAAATGTTAAATAAGACAAATATAATTATGTATGTGTTTATTAACCAATGTCTTTGCTACTGACCTTCAATGATCCAATTCAACCATATGCCATAAGCAATAACGACACATTTGTGTTTCATTTTTGTTATTGCTGAATAGTGTTGAACTGCCCCGCCTCCTGAACACTTCCTATAAGGCAGACGATAGGACCGGGCTCTACACAGGGAAGGTTGACTACTGCTGTTCCTCGAACAAACAAAACAGTAGGACTTGGATAATACTGGGAAAGCGTGCCCTTACTACTTGGAAGAGGCTTGGAAGAGTCACCTCCTCCCAGAGGCGGACATTTACTCATGTGGAGTAACCCAAAAGGGTCCTATTGTACATGACACATGGCTCAGGCTGCATCATCTAGAGATGGCAGAGCGTAGCCTGCCAGGGGAAACACGACCCTAGTGACTGTACTGTGGAAATACACATATGGGATCCCAACAGGGTCACTCATATGGGCACTAACCTCATACCAGATTTCAGGAATTCATTGGATGAAAGGCCTGGTGCTGGACGCTCCGCCACATCCGGCAGCCGGAGTGCTGGAGGACTCGACAGGGTTTACCTGGTTAGGGAACTCTCTGGAGAACTAGGCGTTATGGACGCCGCAAGCCGTCTCTGAACCGGGCCTCTCAGTGCCACTACCCTTTTGAGGTGAGAACACAGGAGGAAACCGGTTCAACACGTAAGCTATAGAACCTAGTGAACGTGTTAGAAGTCGCCCAGCCTGCAGCTCTACAAATATCTGCTAGTGAGGCACCACGAGCCAGTGCCCAGGACGATGTGACACCCCTAGTGGAGTAAGCATGCAGCCTGAGCGGGCAGGGCACACCTTGTGCCTCATAGGCCAAGGTGATGGCATCCACTATCCAGTGGGCCATCCTCTGCTTGGAGACTCTGAGGCCTTCTCTGAGGTCCTCTCTGAGGTCCTAAAGCTCTGAGTTCCATCCACGTACTGTCGCAGCACGCATACAGGACAGAGTGAAGTCAGGGCTGGGTCTGCCTCCTCCAGGGGCAGCGATTGCAGGTTCACCCCCTGGTCCCTGAAGGGAATGGTAGGAACCTTGGGGTCTCAGTGTTGCACTGGAGTCAGCCGGCCCAAACTCAAGCCACGATTTGTCGACCAAAAATGCCTGCAAGTCTCCCACCCTCATGATCGAGGCCAATGCAGTCAGGAGTAGGGTTTTCATGGAGTGAAACTTCAACTCGACTGACTCCAAAGGTTCGGAGGGAGCAGTTTGTAGAGCTCTTAGCACCAATGCTAAATCCCAAGAGGGTAAGGAGGGGGGCCTAGGATGATTTAACCTTCTGGCCTCCCTAAGGAACCTGACAACCAGGTCGTGCTTCCCCACCGACCTCCACTCTATGGGGTCGTGATGTGCAGAGATAGCAGCAACGTAAACCTTAAGGGTGGAGGGGGACAGCCTACACTCCAACCCTTGCTGCAAGAAGGAAAGCACGGCTCTGATCGAACATTTTCAGGGGTCCTCTCGGTGAGAGGAACACCATTTGACAAACAGGTTCCACTTCAAACCATAGGCCCGTCTCGTGGACGGTACTCGTGCTGAAGCGATAGTGAGTGCTACCTCCTGGGGTAGGTCACCTAAAACCTCCACACATTTAGTTTCCACAGGTCCGGATGCGGGTGCCAGAGGGTGCCCCATCTCTGAGAAAGCAGATCCTTCCTCAGAGGAATCAGCCGGGGGGCTGCCGCAAGGAGAATGAGTTCCAGGAACCAGGTCCTGTTGGGCCAATATGGAGCCACTAATGAGACCTACTCCTTGTCCTCCCTGCCCAAATGAACACTCCTGGGATGTGGATGGCACGAAGGGACCTCAGATGCTTCTGACTCCAGAGGAGGAGGTGGCGGGTGAGTTGCGACATATGACGAGAGCGTAAACCGCCTTGCCGGTTGATATATGCAATGGTCGCAGTATTGTCCGTGCGGACCAGTACGTCTCTGCCCTGAAGGCACCCTCTGAGGCGGCTCAGGGCAAGGTGCACTGCCAGCAACTCGATGCAATTGATATGCCAACGCAGTTGGGGACCTGTCCACACCCCTGACACTGCATGCCCGTTGTATATGGGCAGGCCGGTGTAATCTGAACCCGGTGAGTGCCGTGTAGCAACGCCCACCTCGGGACTCGGCCATGGAGCTAGTGCTGAAGCGGTCTCATATGGAGCAGACAGAGCGGAACTACTGCAGCAACTGCAGCCATATGCCCCAGTAGCCTCTGAAACAGTTTTTGTCTTGAGGCCAACTCCATTCCGAGAAAAGAGATCCTCTGCGTTGGCACGAGTTTGCTTTTTTCCCAGTTGACCCGAAGACCCAACTGGCTGAGGTGTCTGAGCACCACGTCCCTGTGTGCGCACAACTGATTGCGAGAGCATTCAGGAATTGCACCTTATCATGCTCGTTCATATCGGCCAGACACAGCCGGAGATGGCACTCCTGGACCACCAAGGTGGACATCGCACAACCCAGAGACTGTGCAGTTAACTTCGTCTCTTGGAGTGCGAGGTCCATCGCAGTACACAGTTCATGTAGAACCGCCAGGTCATGACCACCCTCGTGCAGGTTTCTCAGGGCTTTGGCCTGATGAACCTGCAATAATGCCAAGTCGTGAAAGGCAGAGGCCGCCTCCCCACAAGCTCTGTAAGCACTGCCAATTAGACCTGACGAGTACTTATAGGCCCGCAAGGGGAGACACGGATCACTCCGCAGAGTGGTAGCGGCCGTGGGACACAGTTGCTCCACCGAGGGAATGCCTGTGTACCCCAAAGCGGCCCCGCCATCGAGGGTGGTGAGGAAGGAGGAGCTGCACGATTTGTTTCTGGCAGTAAAAGGTGCCTTCAACTATCTCGTGAGCTCCTCATGCACTTCCGGAAAGAATGGCACTGGAGGGGGGCGCTGAGAACCCACCAACGAACCCGAAGGGGGCAACGCAGCCGAGTCGTCATCCCTGGAGAGAGAGAGAGAGAGAGCCCTCCAATGCAGCGATTGACATCTGGTCGTCAGGGGAAGTACCGGAGGATACGGGCGGTACACTCTGTCCTGCAGAGGGCCCAGCGCACACATCCGGCAGCTGCACCGGCTGCGGAGCGCTTGAGGGGTGAGGAACTTTCTCGGGAGAAGCCCTCACCATGATCCTCAAATCCCCTCTGACTCCACCAGAAGCAGCGATGCCCCGGGTGCCAGGACGAACGCTGGATCGCGGCAGAGGCAGAGGGACTCCGCCACATTTGACATAGCAGAGTCTTTTATGCAACTCCGAGATGGTCATGTCCCCACACAGAGAACATGCACCATCCACGAACGCTTTCTCTGCATGCTTAATGCCCAGACACATGAGGCAGCGATCGTGACCATCCTAAAGGCGCCAGGTAACGACCACATCCAGAAACGCACAGGTGATAAGACATCTTTAAAAAGACGCGATCACCCATGTTGCTCTTTTAGGGATTGCTCTTTTAGTGCTAAGCCACACAGTGGAGCTGGACATCACACACTCTTGGTGTGGCTGTCTGCACGCCAGGTGGTTCCCGTGAGAGCGTGACCACCGCTCTCTCCACCTTCAATACCACGACTGAGGTGAGACCCTTGAGCAAGGCACCGAACCCCCAACTGCTCCCAGGGCGCCGCAGCATTAGCTGCCCACTGCTTCGGGGGTGTGTTCACGGT